TGGCGGGGGGCCGGCCGGGGCCTCTTGCGTGGGGGGGGGAGTGGGGGCGCGCCGTAGCACACTCGCTCCGCTCAGAGGGGACACTGGCTGGAGGGGGGACCTCCGGGGCCGTCTAGTCCAGCCCCCCGCGCGCCGTGCAGGAGATCCGCCCCCGCCTCCCGCCGCGCCCAGGAGGTGGCAGGGAGAATCTCCCGGGACCCCCGGCCAGACCGCGCTTCCTGAGCCCCGAAAGAGGCAGCCGGCATCTCTCTGGGGGGTGTGTGTGTGTGTGTGGGTGGGCGTGTAAGGAAGTGGTTTGAGCAGGACTGGCTCTCTCTCTCTCTCTCTGGGGGGTGTGTGTGTGTGTGGGGGGGGTGTGCCAGAAGAAGGGACAGATCTCATGTCAAGCTTGTTGCCAGAGTGGAGTGGCGGTTGCATCACCACCTGCTGTCATGTCAGACCCCTTCAACTGGAGGTGCTGCCGGGGACTGAACCACCTGGGACCTCCCGCCTGCCAGGCACGTGCTCTGCCGTTGACCCCTGGTCCCTCTCCACTTTCACCTTAACACCTGGAAATGTACACAATGATGGTTGCACCTTAATTAGGAGCATGGCTCTTTCTCTTGCTGCTTCTGCCTGCTGCCCACATTGTGACCAGGGGGACATGGGGAGATTTTCAAGGCTCCACCTGCTTATTCTCTTGGATTCAGCTTAACTACATTTTGTGGCCCTCCTTCCAGTGGCAGGAGCTCTGGGTCCTCCTCTGTGGCTGGCCAAGGGATTGAGCCTCCCCACGGCCCCTTCAGCTGCTTTCAGTGGGCAGAAGGTGAACCTGGGAGTTTCGGAGGGCAGACCTTCTGAAGGGAGAGGGAGCTGCTCCCTGGCAGAAGGAGTCAGGCACCTGGCCGCCCGTGGAGCGTGTGTGGCCCTTCCTTGCGTGCTTAACTTACAACTTACACCCATCCAGAGGCCTGCTTGGACTTGCTTGCAACATGGAAAGCAATGCAGCCAAGTAAAACAACAATCAATGTAAGACATTATCCATCTTCATACAGGCCATTAGATGTATCTGTCGTGATGTGGCCCAGAGGCTTTCACTGCCCTTTTCTATTTGCTGTCTGTGCCCAGCTGAAGCTGGAAAAGAGAGCAGGTAACACTTTGTGGAATAAGACAGTGTCTGCCTTTAAGTTTGCCGCCTTTATCAGCAACTCGCATGCTCTCCAAGCTGTGGAAGGGACCGTTCCTCCTATTAGACAACAAGTCTTTTGGGGACAGACCTGAGCTCCAGGAGGCTTCTGGTGTTCAGGAAATCAATAGATCTTATAGGGGCATCACTGCCATAGATGTAGGTGGGAGCACTTATTTTTTGTGTTCTGGTTTAATTTTAAATATTAATGTGTATCTGCACCTCAATTGAATATGCAATGTAGGCCACACCAGCTGAACAGCAGTCTTCTTATCACAGCATCTGAAAATGTTGTTCACCACAGTATGTAGGCAATTGTGAAATACAGCACAGAGAATCAACTGGTGAGGGGTGCAGCCTGACTACATTTTTTTTTAAATTTTCCATACAAGACAAACACAAAATAGGCAAACACACATACATACAACAAATGGGGGGCTTCCGTTTACAACATTCATTTGTCTGTTAAATTACCTCATACATTACCAAACTGACAAATGCAGTTGATTCTCTGTGCTGTATTTCACAATTGCCTACATACTGTGGTGAACAACATTTTCAGGTGAATATGCAATGTAGGCCCACTTTCCTCCCAAGCCATGGTTGTACAGGTAAAGAAGGGGGAATCTCCTGTTTAGCCTTCTAGATGGGTATGAAACATTTTCCTTGTTTCCTTGCTCTTCATGTTCCCTAGTGTTTTTTTTTGTAGTATTTGCTTTTCTGTATTCTTTCAGTGTTGTTCTGCCCTGACCCTGGGTGTGTTGATTTGAGAAAACAAAAACAAAGATTGAGATTAGACATGAATCAAATGGCGGGGAGGACAATGCCCTGTTCTTCAGGTATTAACAGTCTAGATGGCCCCAATATAGAAGAAGAAGAAGAGATTGGATTCATACCCCATGGCCCTTCACTACCCAAAGGTGTCCCAGAGCGGCTTACAAACTCCTTTCCCTCCCCCTCCCCACAACAGACACGCGGTGAGGCAGGTGTGGCTGAGAGAGCTCTGACAGAAACTGCTCTATAAGCATTATAATAGAGATGATGTTTTTTTAATAGAATAGCTTCTTATGGTGATGCAGGAGTTAAGATGAAGTAAAATTTTCAGCGTTGATTGCATGTCCACACTTCCGGGACGTTTTGGGTAGTGTATATGGCTGTGTTTTTCTAAAACTCAGTACCTGTGTTGTGATACAGTGCTTTTTGACACTGATGTCCTTATAGACTTGAGATGCGATTTCTGCATATGTGTACACTATAGTATCTGCTTTTGGGTGGTGCCTGTGGTGGAACACTTCATATGATCCCTCTGGATGCAGATGAACTTTTGTGAGTGCGCATGATATCCGTCAAAAGTGTTTTCAAAGTGGTAGGAAAAGGTTCCTGTGGTTTTCTACTTAAACCTGCTCAAATTCTGTATATTGTGTGTTTGTGTGGATACGATAATTTTCCAGATCATTTAAAAATAAACAACCACTTGGTG